TGTAAGAATGTGACTATCAAACTTAAAAGGTGTTGCACAGGAAATAAAACAGTAAAAGTAAACAGGAAATAAAGCAATTAATAAAAGTGAAAAGGCCATGCACATAGTAGAAGAAAATATTGGCAAACTATATACATGAGAAGGGTTAATTTACAAAAATGTAAAGAACTCTTTCCACTCAATAGCAAACTATCTGAACAAAAATTGGGCAAGGGATTTGAATAGACATTTCTTAAGATATACAAATAGTCAACAAGTTCATCACTAATCATGAGGTAAACACAAATCAAAACCATACTGAGATATATTATCTCACACTAATATAATGACTATTAACAAAAAGCAAGTGTTGTCAAAGATGTTGATAAATTGGAACCCTTATTGCCATTGTTGGTGATGATGTAAAATGATACAGCAGTTAAGGAAAATATTATGGAGGATCCTCAAAAAGTATTTATAGAATTACCATATGAGACAGCGATCTCACTAGAGGATATATATCCAAAAGAATTGCCAGCATGATTTTGAAGAGATAGACCCATGTTCATTGTTATTATTCACAATAGTCAAGATATGGAAACAACCTAAATGTCTAATGATGGGAGAATGGATAAGCAGAATGTGATATATACAGACAATAAAATAGTATTCAGCCTTCAAAATGAATAATACCTTTTATATGCTACAATATGAATGATCCTTAAAGATGTTATGTAACACAAAATTAACCAGTCTCAAGACGACAAATACTGTACAATTTCACTTATAAAAAAGTAACCAGGGACTGGGGTTGTGGCTCAGTGGTAGAGCACTTGCCTAGCATATGCAAGGCACTGGGTTCAATCCTCAGCACCACATAAAAGTAAATAAATAAAATAAAAAGGTATTGTGTCCAACTACAAATAAAATTTTTTTAAAAAAATAATGAAGTAACCAAAATAATCAAACTCAAAGGAATAGGACATGGAATGGTCAATTCCAGGGGATGGGTAGGGAAGATGGGGAATTGGGTGATGGGTATAGAGTTTCAGTTTTGCAAGATGAAACATTGCAGAGATCTGTTACACAGCAATGGGAATATGGTTAGCACTAATGAAGTACACATTTAAATGGATACATGTTAATTTTACATTATGTATTTTACCATAAAATTAAATTACATGTTAATTTTACAATATGTATTCTAAAGTTTTTCATTTAAAAAGTTGATAATTGTTGTTAATGTGATACAAGTGATTTCCTTATATTAGAGAAGCTGTTTTAACTTTCCACCACTGTGACAAAATACCCGAGGTAAACAACTTATAAATAGGAAAGATTTGGGCCCATAGTTTCAGAGGTTTCTGTACATGGTCACTTGGCCTAGTTGCTTTGGGACTGTAGCAGTACAATATAATGGATTTGGGAACATGAGGAGAAAAAAGACTATTTACCTCATGGTGGCCGGAAAGGAAAAAGAGAGATATGAAGGGGTTAGGGTCCCAATATCCCCTTCATGGGCATACCCTCAATGACCTAACTTTCTTCCATCAGGCCCTATCCCTTAAAGGTTCTACTGCCTCCAAATAGCACCACAGGCTAGGAACTGACCTTCAACATACATGGATACTTGGGGAGCATTTAGGATGCGAACCATAGCAGAAGCATACAATAGATGCTCCAGAAAGCTAATCACTTAATAGGATTCCTAAACTATTCTTAAAAGTGATTTTAGACCTGCCTTACCAAACTTAAAAATAGACCTTTAAATATCCCAACCAAGATGCAGTAGACTTGCTATTGCTTAGCTAAGTAAAACTACAAGCCCTGTAATCAATGCAAGTGAGGCAACAAAAGGAGAACTCTGAAAGAAGAGGAAGACATCTGCCGAGGATCCCAGAATTGAAGGAATTCAATAGCAATAGTCAGTGCTTATGACTCTACATTTATCAGAAAAGACTGTTTCTGATCCCCAACCTAGCAACAAATACCAAAAGTAGGGTTATTTTTTGTCTAGAAGAAACTTTGGTTTGTCAATACTATCCTTTGAAAATAAAAGAATTTTTAATTTAGAAGGCCACCAATTTATGTTTCTTCAGCTTATTTTGCTTTTCATTGCATAAAAACCTATTGCCTATTCAGAAAGATTTGCATTCATGTTGTCTTCTAAAATATTAGAACTTCTAAAAGAACATTCAGCCTTTGGTTTTTTTGTAAAAGAGAAAAGAGCTAACATTAGGTGCATATTTAAGTCTTCAAGCCAGTTGAATTAATTCTTATAAGTCACATATGTTAGCAATACAAATTCTTTTGCATATAGACATTCATTTGTCCTACATTCTTTGTTGAAGACTCCCCCCACCTTGGCACCCTTGTTGAAAATATATCAACCATAGATATATGCGTTTATTCCTGGATTCACAATTCCTTTCTGTTGTGCATGTACACCAGTACCACTCTGTCTTATGGTAAATTTATGGCAAGTGGTGAAATCCAGAATTGTAAATACTCTAATTTTATTCTTTTTCAAGAGTATTTTCTTTTTATTTTTTTTGCATTTTCACATATATTTTGGTATCTAATTTTCCATTTCCTTTTTAAAATTTGTTCTAATTAGTTATATATGACAGCAGAATGCATTTTGATTCATTATACACAAATGGAGCACAACTTTTCATTTTTCTTGGAGAGATGTAGAGTCACACCATTTGTGCAATCATACATGCACCTAGGGTAAGGATGTCCATCTCATTTCATCATCTTTCCTACCCCCTTACCCCCTCCACATCCCCCCCTTTGCCCAATCCAGAGTTCCTCCATTCTTCCCATCCCCCTCCCCCCATTATAAATCAGCATCCACTTATCAAAGAGAACATTCAACCTTTGGTTTTTTGTAAAAAAGAAAAGATATAACATTAGGTGCATAATTGCTATATCTTACTGATGGATTGATCATCATTATAAAATCTCTATTAACAATGTTTTCTCTTAAAGTCTTCTCTATATGGTATTACTATAAACACTCCAGTTCTGTTTTGGTTTTCATGTGCTATATCATTTTTTGATTCTTTTTCTTTCAACCTATTTGTAACTTTCAAATTCTATAGATAGCATATATTGTTCTTTCTAACAGTTCTTCCAATCCATAACTTTTAATTGTATAATTTAATTCATTCACATGTAATATATTACTTATAAGTAGGAAATTCTACAATTTGTCATTCTTTTATAGTTCTTCATTTTTAAAATACATATATTTTTGATTGTTGGATTTTTATTTTATTTATTGATATGTGGTGCTGAGAATCAAACCCAGTGCCTCACACATGCTAGGCAATTGCTCTACCACTGAGTCATGACCCCAGCCCTAGTTCTTCATTTTGTATGTTACTGCCTTCTTTTGTGTTAGATATTTTCTACTTTACCAATATGTCTTTGTCATTTCTTCACTACATGTTTTTAGACATTTTTCTTAGTGGTCAAGACATTTCTTCTAAAACCAAAGTTATAATTACCATATGACCCAGGAACTGCATTCTTGGGCATTTTCCCCAGAATAATTAATGCTTATATTTACACAAAATCCTATGAATGAATTTTCAGCTGCTTTACTTGTATAAGCCAAAAACTGTACAGAACAGTACTACATGATGTACTCCTAATTTAAAATAAAAAAGAAAAATCCTCTTGTTGGACATATCATCTTGATTGAATCTTCAGAGGATTATTTTTGCTTAGTGGGAAAAAACTAAAGCCATTCCCAAAAATTTATATAATGAAGGTTATTTCTATGGCATTTAAATGATCAAATATTAGAAATTTGTAGGGCAGGTTAGAGGCCCCAGGAGTCTGGAGAGGCTTAATGGGAAGGAGGTTGGTGTAGTCATAAAAGGACAACATGTAGGATCCTTGTGGAAATGGAAGTATTCAGTCTTGACTATGATGTTTGATAAAATAGCCTAAACAAGTGATAAAATTTTTGGAATTTAAGACATACACGTGAATAAGTACAAGTAAAACTGGAAAATCTGAATGTTTGGTGGATTTGATCAGTGTCCATACCCTGGTTGTGATATTGTACTTTAGTTTTGCAAAACATTATTATTGAGAAAATTATTCATGGGATATCTCTGTATAACTTCTGACAATTAGATGCAAATCTACAATTAAGTCAATAAGAATTTAAATAATATATTAAACATATAATTACCATGTGATCAGTAATTGCATTCTTGGACCCTAGAAAAATCAAAAACTTTGTTCACACACAAGCCTGTATACTAACATCCAATGCAAATATTATTTGTAATAGTAAAAAACTAGAAATAATTCAGATATCATTCAATGTGTGAATAGATAAACTGTGATACATCCACATCTTAGAATATAACTGAGCAATATAAGGTAATTATTGATATATGTGGTAACTTAGATTAATCTCAAGGAAATTATGCTGAGTGAAAAAAATATGTCCAAAAAGGTTATGTACCATATTATTCCATTCATAATATTCTCAAAATGACTAAATTATTGAGATGGAAAATAGCTTAATGGTTGCCAGAGGTTAAGGACAAGATTTTGTTGGGAAAGCAGTGGATGTAATTGTAAAATAGTAACATGAGGGATCTTTGTGGTAATGGAATTATTTCTGCATCTTGACTATGGAAGCATAATGAAATTGAATTAAAAATACACATATACACATGAGTACAAATAAAATATTATAAATATGAATCAGATGGGCAAATGGTATCTACATTAATACCTTGATTATGATGTTATACTATAGTTTTTCAAGATTTCCCAATTTGAGAAAGTATATAAATGGCACACAAACTTCTCTGTATTATTTTTTAACTGCATTTGGCTCTATAATTATCCCAGAATAAAATTTCAAACCACAAATCTTCAAAAGATTAGGCTGATCCACATGTAACTTATTTGCCTACCAAAAAAAGATCAATCCTCTTAGAGATGACACACTCTAGCACAAAACAATATCTGATTCAAAAAACCACATCTTTTTTTAGTTGATTATCATTTTAATTTTGTGAAAGATTCACAAATTTTACATAGTTTCCCATTAGAACAAATAATATTTTAAATAGGGTAAGCCCAGAAATGGTTCCCCAGAAGTAAAGGTAACTGTCTGAGTGCACTTCAGTCCAGACAAGAATTCCCACTATGGCTGTATCACATTAGTGGTACTGTAGGATAAAATTGAGCTTGAAGTTCAGCTATCTCAATATCAGATTCTTTTAAGGGTTCAATGCTAGCTACATGCTGTATCCTGTCCCTAAATGAAGAGTTTGTACTAGATTGAACTTGGTATGGGATAACATCTGCACTCATGTTAGGGTGAGTTGAGGACCCACTCATGTCAGCTATTGATAGAAGCTGGAATCTGTTCATATCAGCTAGAGGATGATTCTGAGAATTTACAGAATCAACTACAGATAGATCCTGGGACTTCACTGTATGATATTCAGAAGGGGAACTCCAGGGATCAATTGTACCAGTTGGTGGAGGAATCCATGTGCTTTCAATAAGGTATCGATCTATAGGTTCACCTTTATTGATTATTAGAGAATCCTGGGACTCAGCTTTTGCCTTAGTGTTTTCACCTGAAGTAATGGAGGCCCAGGGTCCCTCTTTATCATATGAATGAAAAGTTCGTGATGTGCTAGACAGAGTAGTAGTTGTGGGTTGATCCCAAATTTCATCCATATAGGGCCTAAAGGATTCCAAGTGTCCTTCTGCATTAGCAGTGGCTTTTGTCCAAGATCCATCTGTAGAATCAGTAGATTGAACCCAGGATCTAGTGTCATGGGAGTTCCAAGGTTCAACTGCACCATCTACAGATGGACTCCATTGTTTGACTATGTCAGCCACAACTTGATTCCAGGATTCATCTGTATCAGTTAATGGAAAATCCCAAGATTTCGGCGGATTAAATGACATAGTTGTATCAGAAATAAGTTGAGGTAAAAAAGGTTTAGGTGTAGAAACTACTGAGGAATCCCATGAATCACCTGTATCAAGTATAGGGGTATCCTGGTGATTCTGAGCTGAGTTATTTCTAGAATTTTCTGGTAGTCTGCCATCAGAGGAAGTGCCCAATTGCTCTACTAGAAAATTGTCATCTTGGGGGATCTGGCTTTTTTCAGGGGGAAACTTATGACTAGTAGTGAAGGACTCCGCTCCATTAAAATTATAGATTGCTGGAGAAATTTTTAGATGTTTAGTTTCTGGAGAAATGCCTACATTTTCCTCCAAAGACTGTGCAGAGGGCTGATATGAGGTAAGGGTTGGGGCATAGTTATAGCCCTGCCTTATTTGGGAAATCTGCACATTCTCAAATGTTTTGCAATGTAAGAAGGATGTAGGACTCAAGAACTTCTTGGATGCCTTAATTAACTGCTTGATCCAGGAAAGGTAAGGAGCTGTCCTAATGATGACTGTAGGATGTCGACATATTCTTGAGGTTTTACGTACCAGGCCCACCAGTTCCCAGTTGTTATTTAGGAGACATAGGACAGGACTGGCTTGCTGTACCTGAAAAAAAAAAGAAATTGTGTGTACACACACACACACACACATACACACACACACACACACACACACACACACACACACACTAATGTATTGCATCCTTCCCCTCAAAATCTTTCAATGCCTTCCAACCTCAACAAGACTATTCTTATAATGATGTACAGAGCCCTCATATCTAACCTCTAGTTACCTCCTTGACCTCACCTACTGCTATTACCTTGTCCAATATGCAACAGCCAGCTGGCTTCCTTCCTGTTACTTAAATATACCAAAATACATACCTCAAAAACTTTGAATGACTTTTCCTGTACTTTTAACACTATTCTCCTGATATCCACATGACTGGATTCACTACTTCCTCTACAACCCTATTCAAATGTTACTTCTTTAAAAATGACTCTCCTAATCACCTAATCCTATTGAATGTATTTAAAGCCATATAGAACCCCTATCTGATATTACAAGTACTTTAGACTAAGATTGAGTGTGGAGTCTGGTTTTTTTCAACTTCAGGTTACACACAGAATTCAAGGTCATAGTAAACCCTGCCCTGTGCTTGTAATCTGGATGTATTCTGTTCAAAGTCATTATCAACACTTTCATTAATATTATATGCTTATTTTTGCTCATTCTATAAAAAAATACACAAACTCCATGGGAATATGAACTGCTCTGTCCTCATTGACATTACACTAGTTCAGATTAGATCATTATGTCAGCATGGAGACTATATAATGGCTCACTATACTAAATTATGGCACCAGATTTCTTCAGTGGGTCTTCTCTTTTAGGCCATTTTTCATATCAGCCATCAGAGTGATTCATAAAATGTAAAGTTTGCCATGTCAATTCTTTTCTCAAAATCTTTTCAGGATTTCTCATTCGCTAAATAATAAATCCTGTATATATTAATAAGATGAATAAAACTTTTAACATCTCCCTTATCCCACACTCAAATTAGTACTTCTTCCATACTCCAATGTATTTTTAGGCCCCAGACCTGTGTTACTCTGCTCCCTTTAACCTAAATGCCCTCACTTAATTTATACTTTTTATCTCATTCATTAAATGGCTACTCATCTTTTAGTACTAGTTCAAATATTAATTTCAACACCTTTTAAATTAACTCAGTCTTCATTTTACCCTCCATGCCAACAGCAATTATCCACCATATAATTATCCATCCTTTGCAGTTATCTACCACAAGCCCTAGATACTACTTCTTTAACTTGCATTTGCGGTTTCCTCTATCTCTATTTGAAATATTGTACCATCTTTGCTTGATTAATTGAGTCCTTCTCATCTCTTAAGACTTAGCTCTCAAGGCTTATCACATCTTCCAATAATTTCAGTCCACAACCTCCACAGTTCTAGATAAGGCTTCCTTTGAAATCTTTAAATATGATTTGTGTTCATGCTTTCTAGTTATCTAATACATAACAGTTTTCCTGTACAAGGATTTATTTTCTATAATCTTGTAGTGTGTTGATGGTAAACTGTGTTGTATTTGTATATTGAACCTTCCCACACCTAAGTTCAGGCCATACTCTGTTCATTATAATGACTACAAAGAGGCTATAATATAATTGGAAGTAGGAAGCTCCAATTTCTTTTCATGCCCATTGACTCTTTTTCTGTAGGTCTCATTCGGTTTCAAAGGCCTTCTCTGTTGATATAATCTATACCTCTCAAATACCCAATGAAAATCCCAAATTCATTATTCGCCTGGAAACAAAAGAACAAATCCATATGGCCTATTATATAGATTACTTGCACACCTATGGAATTCTACATTTTCACATTGCCCTCCCATTCTTGATATTTCCCAGATGCATAATTACCCAGCAGTCTTGATCTGGCTGGCTCAGAATACACAAGAAATCCGACTTCTCATGATGGGAATATTGAGGGTGGCATACTGAGAGCTCCAGCAGCTGCACTAATATCTTCTTCACTCCTGTGACTCCAAACTCTGGGTCACCTGAGGGGAGGGATGATGAATGATACAGAGACCCAGACCACCCAATATCTGGGCTTGATTTGACATCACTCTCTTGATTCAATCACGTGGACTTCCCAAGACATTCTCCCCTTTTTTTCCTTTTTCTTCTCCATTCAGATCATATATATTTCCCCTGTGTTTTCTGAAACTAACATTAATCTTTACCTGGGGATATAAAGAGTTCTATAACACTGATTCAGACCTGGGCATATCTCTTTCCTTTCTTATGTTTCAGTTTATCCTCCTATAAGTTGGGGTGGTATGGACTTAAGGATTTCCAATATTTCCTTCAGATTTTTTCCCACCTTCACAGAGGCTTAATTTCTTTGAAAAACTAATTATTGAAACTAAACTCACAAGGCAGTGTAGCTTGGTTCATTTTACTTACTATGATGTTGGTACACTTGGCAGCTTCTATAATGGCATTTAGAACAGCTCTTCAAGGATACATTGGGCACATGAGATAGTGGCACATCATCCCCATAGACTGGCTTTGAAAGAAGGACCATGCCAATATCTGCTTTCATTGCGTCTTCTTCATCTTGGGGATCAAACCTGGGATGGATGCAAATTCTTTGGCCATGTAGGGGGCTCTTCTGGTCATCTTCTTCTAAGATGTTCAGGCTTGAGAGTTTCCTAAGGAAATATAATGATGCAATCAACAATACAATTGTTAACAATACAACTGACAATAATAAAAGTAGAAATTTTGCATTATATGTCCTTATGTATTAACAGTATATGTCAAAATCAAAGTTATAAAATGACTAAGTTCTCACACTTATTTGGCAACATAAGATTATCTTAATTCCAGAAACTATTATTAAATAGTCTGTGATACATACCATACCATGCCTGTGCAAGACTTTGTACTGGAATTTGGCTCTTCAACATCTCCACTGATCCCCCACCAACTAATTGATCCCCAGAAAGTTTCTTTGCATGCTGGGATTTTAGTGACCTCCTCTATAAAAGGACTATTTTTCAAACTCCATTTGAGCTTTAACATTCTCCCAGTTGAAAAATAATTCCCTCACCTATGTCACTGGATTTTGTTATTGCTTAGGTTTTTGTTTGTTTGTTTTGGGTGGTGCTGGGGATTGAACCCATGAGCAGATATTGGTTAAAATCTCAGTTTGGGGCAGTGTTTGCCACTACAAAAACAGAAAGCTTGTACTTTTGTTATATTTGTGATAAAATATAATCACTTCAGATGACAGAAAAGAACTCTTTGATATACTATATCCTAGTGATATAATATATCCTATATTAAAGATTCTATCTTTAATCCATGACTCCTGGAAACTTAGTTTTGAAGCTGACAAAGGTGGACACTCAGTATGTTTTTCAAGATAATGAAGGAGAAAGTAGGAAAGGATAAGAAAAGTGTGGGAAGAAGGAAACAAAGTCAACTAAGGAATAGTAACAAAGCCATTACCTGATTTCAGTACCAGAAAGGGGTCCATATCAACATTTCCCTCATTTCATTTCTCTGGAAGGATCAACCAGTAGGAATCCTAAAAGGAAAACTCACCCAAGCCCCCAAAACATTGCTTCTTCCCCTACTCACGTTTTATGCAGGCAGTTAGCTGTAGAGAGGATCCACCATGGACTTAGGATAATGCCCTGGCAACTTCCAGACAAAGGCACCAGCCATGGTATATCAGGGGAGATAGCCAATGGTGGTATTCTTGTGATCAATGAATTTGAGATTAACCCCTTTCTCTCAATTTGGGGCACTGCAAAGAGTATGATATGAATAAGGAGGGGTTAAAATGACATGAAAACCTATCTCTTCTTTCAGTGTTGATGAAATTTCTTATTTTTGAGTTCACCTATTCAGTTTGAACTATAAAATTTCTGATACTCTCTCAACATGACCTACCTTCCATCATGACTGATTATGTGTCAGTAGATATGAATGTGGTATTTATATACCATGATCACAACTTAATGCTACTGTTCCTCCTGTCTTCCCTGAACATTTATTGAAGGAAACCTAGAATTAGCTTAAGGGATAGTACCAAAAGATGTTTCCATCTAATGTAGGGAGATAAAAAGAGATGAAGAAGGTATAGGCAGGGACAGAGTCAAGGAAGAAAGTAAAGGTAGTGAAAAGAGGGGAAAGGAAGTGTAAAAACTGAAGCGGGAATAGAATAGGAGGAGGAACTTGGATAATGGGGGCAAAATATTTCTGAAATGAATAGTAAGTAAAATATGGAGAAGAGGAATCAGAGGTAGGTCTTTGGAAAGTCAAGGAAAAGAAAAAGATATAAGGATTCCCAAATATCTATGACTTACTCGCATAGCAGTAAGGAACCAAACACAAAACATGGTAGAGCCAAAGTAGGGGCTTCATGTTGACTCAAGTGGGAAGAAATGTGATGTGGAGCTCCTAGGGCAACAGCAGCTCTAGTAGTCTAGAGGCAGAGTTCATAGGTTTCAGAATGTCTGACATCATAAAATCTATTGTGAGATCATGCCATCCCTGTGGTCATCTTAAAGTGGCTTAAGCTGGGGAATTGGGAGCAGCAATATAGTTTAAATATTATTTTTGAGCTTTAACATTTTATTTTTTAACCTCACTACCACACTTTTTATATGAATCCCACAGTTAAGAGGGTCCTGGATCAATCTGTTTGTTGTGTGTCCTTTGTTTATAGGCAAAGGAGGACAGGTGTTTGTCCCAATCTGTTGAAAGACACTCTCTTCTCCATTATATGGACTGAGTGTTTACCATGATTTTAGTGTCTTTTGTGTCCCTAACATCATTGTATAACCAAGCACTTTCCATAAATGCTTCTTATTTCTCCATTTCATATTTTTGTAATGGTTTGCATATCACTTACATCAAAGAACTTGACCATATACACTGTTTCAATATCTGGTTAGTGATTTTTATTCTCACTAGTTCTGGAAGACTTCCTCAATAAGATCCAATTTTGACAATCCTTATATCATGGAATATTACTCAGCAATAAAAAAAACTATGGATATAATCAACAAATTTAATAAGTCACAAAAGATTTATACCAAGTTGCATGGGCTCTCTCTCGTCCAGCAAGGAGGTCCACGGAACAGCACAGAGGAGAGTGTGGCTGCAGAGTTGCGAATCAAGACCTCCAGAGACCAAGGTGGAAGCAGGTCTAATTTTATTGTGTAGTTACTATCTATATATACTCGGGCAGTAGCTAAGCAGATTATAGTCAGCCACCAATACAATTTCTTGCCAACTGTCCTTGCAGCAACCAATCAAGGAGTGAGCCATGGAGCAAGTGCTGTGACTGCAACACATAATCTTATGCCCAGGGCTGTGCCTACAGGGTGAGTGGTTTGCAGCTTACATGCCTAGCATGAGGGGAGTAGTTTGCCACTCAGGTGCCCCTAACATGTCACGTGTGCAGTACTCCATGCACTTGTCCCCATATCTCCTCCTTCTGACTGTGCTGCAAGGACTTCAGCTAGCATTGCTGTTTTTCATTTGGCAGCCTTCACACAGTTGCATAAGCACCTTACAACTCAAGAAAAAAGTATTATTATCACAAATAGTAGGGCTATGGTAATAGAATTATAAGGATTAATTAATTTGGCTATCAGGTTTTCCAATGTTCAGTTAATCCCTAGAAGAAAGAGGAGGCCATTAAGATAGACATCTTAGCCTCATTGATTCTGCCAATCGCCTTAGTAAGGTTATGCTTAGTCATAACATAGTTAGCATCCCAAGTGCCCTTAATATACCAAGAAAAATCAAAGAAGTGTAAGGTTACATTTTCAGACAGAATATTGAGTGACACAAATACTACGAAATTCAGGGTCACAAGTGAGCCTTTGTAACATAAACAATATATCTAGTTGTTCCTGGTGGAGGTCTAGTTCTTGCTGAATGACTAAAATAGCAGCTCAGGACAGTTTATTTAAGTCATTTTGAATGGTAAAGGCTTCTGCTGTGGCAGTAAACAAATTGTTCACAGTCTGAGCGATCTGGATACTCTGAGTGAGCAAAGCAGCAGCAGTGGCTGTGGCAGTGATGGCAGTCACCAGGGCAGTAATCCCAGAGATGATGTGGCTAATTGCACACCTTGTCTGGTGCAGGATCTCATTTAGAAGATTCTTCATTTCCATTTCCCATGGACTTCTCCACTCTCTGGACAGGTTCACTGGAAGCCAGATTGCTGGGAGCACTCTGAGGATAAATGTATGTTTAGCTTTCATAGCAGGAGTTAGTAAATTTGTGAGCCAGCAGGATGTATTGACTGCACAAGGGACCTCTGTGTGAGTGTTATTTATGACATCAGTGTCATTGATTATTAGCATAGCAAATGATGGCATAATACAAGTCTGTGCATAGTGGTTATGGGTATAATTTGGGACAAAGGTAAATCCATGGTTAGGGCCTTGTTTCAATATAGACCCATTCATGCAGCCGGCTGCTGCCCATTTGATGGGTCTAGCAGCCAGCAATATTGGCATGATATCCATCATGCCATATTGATTTCCTGACTAACGGTTGGTAACAGATTGTCCTGTATCGCAGTTACTGCAGTAGCCCATGTGGATGGGCACATCAGAGAGAGTCTAGGGAGCTGCACCTGCTCAGGTGCATAAATATTGTTCTTCCCCAGAGATATTCTTCTTATTAAGGAAATAAGGTCAGAAGTAATGCATTGATTCCAGGGAAAGGTATCATTATCTGAGGGGGGGCTTACCAAAAAGCATCTTAGGACATGTCAGCAGCAAAGGTTTTTTGCATTTGCTGTGAGGGGGGGGGTCTATGGCTATTGGTAGCATTAACTACAAATCTAAGGTCAGTGAGAAACAGACCAATGTATAACTTGTTATATTTATCTACGATAGTTTCATTGGCAAGAGCAAAGCAAAGAGGGTTGCCTTGATTATAGGTCTCATTATCAACCACAGAGACACAAATGGACAGAGTAGGCATGGGAATGCTGGTGTTCCAGGATATGGTCACCTCCTGGATGGATAACTCAGGATCAATAAGGTTGGAATTACTGGAAAGAGCTTAAGTAGGGCTCCTTCCCAATTAGCCACTGCTAAAGGTGGTGGCCTAGTGACCAAAGCTCAATTTACACGATGAGAGGCTTCACTGTTAGCAGTGAGCGCCACACACAATAGGACCACTACCATTGGCCCAGGGATGAGGTTGCCACCAGGCAAAGGGGCCAGTCCGGTGGTTTGGTCAAGAAGACCTTTAATATCACCCCAGGTTACTTTATGGGAGGTCTGTTTGCATTGTTGAGTCCTTTGTGAGGTTTCTTCTCCAAGGTTAGTTCCTTCATCTTCTTGGTTGATGGTTCTGGGGGTCCATGGCTTGACTTTCTGGCAAGCATCCAGATGGGGTGAGGCTCCTGTTAACATATGCAAAACCTCAACCCAGTGTTAGGAGGGGCCCTAGACTATCCCATGCATTTGTTAAGGGATCCTTCCATGAGACCATAGGTAGATGGGAGGCCCCATGAGGGGGCCCCAATGCTTATGGGCTGCTATTTCTGCAGAAAATTTTGAAATTGAAAGAAAATTTAAAGTCAATAAAGTTTTGTTGAAGACATTGCGAGAGGACTTGGTATAGTTTCCCCCCCTCCCTCTATTTTTGTAGCATGGTCTATAATTACTTGTGTTTTCTTTCTATGATGCCTTGAGTCTAAGAGTTATAGGTGATCCCAGTTAAGTGCTGTATATCCCAATCATTGAAAATTGCTTGAAATGTCTTGCTAGTATAGGCTGGCCCATTGTCAGTTTTGGTAGACATGGGAACATCCATAATTCCAAAATATTTAAATAGATGGGAGATGACCTTTTTGTGGTTTCTCCTGTGGAGGCTGTGGCCATTATACAGCCTGGATAGGTATCAGTGACTACATGAATATATTTTAAATTTCCAAAATGTGCATAATAAGTGACATCCATTTGCCATAAAGCATTATATTTTAACTCTTAGGGATTCATTCCAGCAGATTGTAAAGGGACAATGGAAACAAAGGGTGCACATTTTTTGAAGTCTCTTACTAGCTGTTTGAAAGCCTCTTTAGTCCTGCTTTTATGCAATTGCCATGGCTGAGGCCAGCAGAGAGGCTTGAGCTTCTTGTATTCCTATGTCCTGGGTGGCCAAAGTCTAGTCATCTAGGGTGCCATTGTGCCTGTGCACAATGGCAGCCCTGTGCTCCTTGTTTAATCCTTCCCAGATTAATTCCTTGGCTAGGGCTTCCCTAGCTCCTACTTGAAACATTTCCCTTTCCACTGCCTTGTTTACTCTCAGTAAACTGCAGCAAGTCATCAGTGGCTTTCTGCCTTAGACCCTGTTTAGAAACTGTACCTCCCCCAGCTGGCAATTTCCTCCAGGCTCTCAAAGCACAGAGTTGCACCTGATCGAAATAATTTGGCGGACCTATAATTTGTACCACAGGGAAACTAGATTCCCTCTCCCTGCAAGCACTCAGTTGGGAGGTTAACATTTGCAGTGTGGTTGCAATCCCCCTGCTATTCACATTCATCATAGAAAAATGCCTTCCACTTCAAGAATGTTGCAGGCTCAAGAGCCCTCTGGCTAGGTCTTTCCAGTCTTGAGGGCAATTAAGTTCAAGACTGATTCCAGCATTTGCTCTATAAATGGCCCCTGAGGCCCATCCTCTTTTACTGCCTTCTTTAACTCTTTCAGGGTGTAGATACCAAGCATCTGGGCACTGTGGCATGGGGGTCAGGTTGACTGGGTGCTAAGAGCCACAGCCAAGTAATATGATTTCAATTTTTGGTTGAAAGGTGATGCCAGCTAGCCATTGAGATGATATGATTATGTTAAGATTTGCATTCATATGGATATTGGACTCCTGCTGTTCACCTCGGGCCTGCTTCGGGACTCCTGGAGAGTTCCCAGAGTTCCCATTGGTTGGGGAAGTACAGTAGGAGGGAATTGGGGGGGCGGGAGGAACTTCTGCGTGGGTCGATCGGGATTGTTCCCGGGGGCATAGGGGGCATTGGCGGCATTTTCAAATAATAAAGTTTGTTCCTGCTTGAGTGACTCGTGATTTTGTGTCTAGCCAGACTGCGGCAACTGGGAAGGCTTATATTCCCTTATACCAACTTTCATCTCTTATCTTACAAAGATCTTCAAAAGGATCTTTGGTCTCTTGGAATGGGTTTCTGGGAGACCATGGCTTGGGCCTATTTGGCAACCTGGTTATTTCTAAGCTGTCACAGTCCCTTGCTGGCTTTGGCATTGCCTCATAAGGAGGCAGTTGCCATTGACTTAGGGGAGGATATAATCTTTGCCAGTCAGTAGAAGGTACATTTGCACCATTTGTGGTCACCTCTTCCTGTACCATACTAGCTAGTGGTACCGTTTCCTATTTTTCTCCCTCCTGCACCTGTTACATTTGCTTACTTTGAAGTAGATTTTCTCCCTGGATTT